CCAAGATTAACCTTCAGGGTGGAAATAGCTCGCTAGCAGCCTTGCACCGAGGACCTATCCACGTTATCATTTCCCAGAATACTTTGTGTGTAAATAAAATGGCTCGGTCCGTGTTAAAGTATATTTTAAAAATTACAAAACTAAACATCCTACAGTATTTTTACAGTCTTTATTTTACAGTTAAAATGAATGTTTATCAAATAAAGTCTAATGTTACAACTAATCACGGATCCCTTTTAAGATGTGCTTGCTGCCTCTTTAAATGAGTGAATGAAGTGTTTGCTGTGATATTTCTGTGGCACATGGACTGTTTTCTTTCTCAAAGCTTTGTTTCTCATCACAACATTGTAGTGCACCAAAGGTTACGTCGCACAATGTTGGGTTGAGAACAACTTACCAAACTCTGCTCTGTTGCTATACTCCCCTTGACATGAGCTTTGTAGATATAAACCAGCTTCAGCAGATAATGCGTCTGATAGGAACACCCCCTGCAACTGTAATAAACAGGATGCTCAGCCTCGAGGTGAGAAGGACCCACAGCTGCTGTGTTTGGAAGGAACAAGAAGCAGCGAAGGCAGACACTTTGCTTCTCTGCTCTTTAATATTTTTGCACTGATGTTGAGTAGGCCACTCATGACAGTACTTCATGTAGAACTTGTTCCAAGGGAATAAACCAAAGTCAGTGTAACTTTGTATTTTGAGGTAGAAAAATTACAGGATTAATTGTCATGTTTAAAAAACAGACGTATTGCTACTTATACACCCACAAGCATGAGTTCCAGATTAAATACTGCGGTGATGTGGTGTCTCACATGCTTGCAGCACATATAGAAACTGTTTTTCTTTAGAGCAGCAGCTCAGACTTTGTGGTTAAAGTGTTTCTACTGCTTTCAGAGATGTTTTCCCAGCAGCACTTGTTTTGTTTTGGTGATTAAAAATAAATGTGTTGTATGTATATGTATTAGTTTTGATCTGGTGTTTAATTTTTATGTATTGGTGTATTTTTCTAGGCCAGGAGTTATATCCGCTCATTACCATCCATACCCAAGAGAGACTTTGCTGATGTATTTGTTGGTGCCAACCCATTAGGTACCACAAAGGAAAAACAAACTTTTTATTTAGCAATTAAATGACTGATTGAGTGGAGATTGTTTTATTTAAAAGTGGACTTTTCATTTTCAGCTGTGGATCTTCTGGAGAAGATGCTAGTTCTGGATCCAGAAGAGAGGATAACAGCTGCTGAGGCTCTGACTCACCCGTACTTTGCTTATTTTCACGACCCAGATGACGAGCCTGTGTGTAAGCCGCTGGACCAGAGCTTTGAGAGCAAAGAGTTAGAGATTGTAGAGTGGAAACGTATGTCGTTCTTACTTTATAATGTTTTTTTTTATAAGTAATACTAGATTTTTTTTGTTGGCAAAGTAGTYGTGCTACTTGTTTCAGTCTCATAACTTTTTTTAATCTTTGCAGGTTTAATCTATGAGGAAATGTGTGGTTTTGAGCCGCTTCTCACCGCTGAAGGTGAAGTAGATTGAGATGAATCGACTGCTTCAACCAAGACCTTTTACTATGTGCATTAGCACCCACCATACTGCCTGGCAAACGCTGTCTTTATTACAGAAACACTCATTAGCTGTAAGGACATCATTTCCAACACAGGGAAAACAAGAACCTGACCAGCTTTTTTTACTTATAAACCACTGTGATGATGATCTGTTGCTGGAAAATGTCAGTTTTTGCCGTTATCTGAATTTATTTTTCAGATTTTTAAACAGAGTAGAATTTCACTCGTGACTGTGATGGTGTGATGCTGAAACACCTGGACCTATAGTTGTGCTGTTTTGTGTGTGTTGTATTTTATTTTTTTATTGCCTGTTCAGTAATTTATCAAAAAGCTTTTTGTCCATGAATATGCTAATCTACTGGGTTGTCATATACAGCATTGAATCACTCTTTTWAAATTTATTTTATTTTATTTATCTTGTTTTCTTGCATTTAAAGAAAGTAAATGGTTCGATATAAGATGGTAGTGAATTTTATGCTTTTTAGCTGTTTGACAAATTTGAGACATGTTTTGTTGTCGCTGTCTTTTAGAACCCCTCAACTGAATTTAACAAATGTTAACACCTACTTATGCAAATGTCTTTTAAACTCTTAACATGGCAAATGCTGATACATGTTTATAGTTGATCTGGGGTAAAGGGGAAATATTCATAAACACATTTGTGCCTTTTTTTGTTTTTTAAACCAGTGATGGTTAGTAAACAATCAATATTGGATGCGTGTTCACTCGTGTGCTGTTGGTTTACAGAAATGTTATGCTATGATCATTAAATGCCAAACCGTTAAACTGTAAAAGAGGGATTTGTATTTATTTATACTGTTTGAATGTGCCATTGAAGAGACAGCTAAAAGACCTCTTAAGCTATTTTTGCTCATGCACGTTAACTGCAATCTCCGGTCCTTTTAACTTAATAAAGACATATTTTTAAGAGAAATGTGCTGTATTGCCTGATTTTAAAACACCTTACTGTTTTTCATTTATTTAATTGTAATTGACACTTGTGATAAATTGATAGGGCTGTAAAAAATAAAGCAGTCATATCTACAGCAATAACAGCAGTAATCATTAAAAGAAAATGTTAAAATTAGACAACATCTAGGCGTTTGCACAGTGTGGTATATTAGTTACATTTCAGTGGCGTCATACTAAATATTTAGTGAGCAATTTTTGTTTTCTGCAGCTTAATTGTTTGAGAAAATTCCTTTAAAAGTGGTTTGATGCTCAGACGCAAACGTCACAGATGGGAAGCTCGTCTGGCACAGCAATCTAATGCGCATGCGTGGAACATTCGATCACTGGAGTAGCTAACAGCTAAGGCTACGAATCCAGCCAACATGGAGAGGAAAGGTAAATCTGTATGCGACACCCAGCAGACTGAGCAATGTTTGCTCATGTGTAGTTGATGTCCCCTCGCTGTCACWCGTGTAACGCTTAGCCCAGCTGCAGGTATTGGGGTGAATAGATTCATTCGGCGTTTAATGTCACGCACTGCGCTGAAACGAGCTATGCTAGCTCTGTAAGACATTAGCTTTAGCCCGAGTGTCAGGATTAACGCAATACGTTCGGTTTTCCAGCTCTTTCTATTTTAAACTTAAAGCACCGACTGTGTAGTGTGTGTGTATATATATATATATAGTATGGTAACTGAGATTACTACATGTCATACTGGTGTGTTGTAGAGGACCGGTTGCCTAGGTGTGTAGCTTAGTGATGTTAATGGGGTTCAGACAGTGGGGGAGCCTGTAATACATGAACTGCACATTTAAATACTGTTAACCACAAAGACAACACACTTCAGCTCATGATGATCTGGTTTAATGGCTGTGAATTAAATTATAAATAGGATTTAAATAAGTCTTCATCCATGCCAAGTGTCAGTTATAGAGCAAAAGACATCCAAACAATGGTAACACAATTTGTCTTTTGTTTTATTTTTTTCCAGTTCTGGCACTCCAGGCCAGGAAGAAGAGGGCGAAGGCAAAAAAGACCAACAAAAAGTGAGTTGTATGGACTTTTTTAGTCTTCTTTAGTTGTGCAGGATGGCCTCCTTTAAGCTTGCTGTGTGTCAGCTGTGTGGAGTTAAAGGGTGTGGGTACTTAAAGTTAATGTTTGCTTGTTGCAAGTGACAAGTGGACAAGAGCATCAACACTGCATGCATGTGCATGATCCAAAGTTGAACATTTCAAAAGACTGATTGGCACATCTAAAACACTCATTTTGGATGGTGGACTTCCAAAATTAGCAGATGATGTTTAGGTAACAAGTATCATTAAAGGTGAATTTTGAAAGGTGTAAGGTTTTGGCACTGACAATTCATTTATCTTCTCTCTTAATTATCTAATGCTTTACTATACTTGTTTGAAATTATTCCAGGATAATAATGAAAGTTTTTAAGTTGTAAATGAATAGCTAAGCCAGTGATCTCTAGAACTGATTGTTTTGGTGGACCTAATAAATCTACTAATCATGGCTGCACCAGTGACATCCTCCAGAGTGTTATATAACAGCCTGTGCTATATTTAAAAATAGAGAATGAAGAAGCCCACATCAGCCCGCTGAAGCATGGTGTTTCAAGGAAAATGGCATTTTGAAAAGTATTCACAACCTGGCTGACCGTGATATTTTCATGACTCAGAAGCCTGCATCCATATGGCATTCTAATTATGAGGATGTAAAAAAAAAAGATTTAAAGATGTTTTTTTTAAGGTCTAAAATGTATATTAGAAAGCACTGAATGAGTGTGTGTTAGGGTTGGGCATAATCGTATCGTGTGCAATTAATCGTCAGAAAAACATTAATCGATTACTTTTTGGCACTTGATGATTAATACGATTAATGCCACCAGGCAGAGTCCTCTCGCTGCTCCTTTATACTTCAAATATGATGAACATTTTTTTAAAAAAGTTCTGTAATTTATTTATCTATCAACACAATTTAAAATTTGATGTACACCCTGAAATCTGTAATTTTGACACAATTTGGAACAGATTGGTATGAAGAGCAAATCTTTCCCACTAAATTGGTCATGTGTCCAGGGACTCCAGGGGATTTATCGTCAAATTAATCGTTATCGGCTAAATACCACAATTAATCATGATTAATTTTTTTTGCCAATATTGCCCAACTCTAGTGTGTGTATGGCTGAATGGGAAATGTAAAGTATTTAGCATAACCTGGCAGATTTGGACAAGATTTTTTTTCTTTACCTGCCCTCTCGGGCAGGTGATGAAAAATGTTACCTGCCCGATATGAAAGGTTACTTGCTCGAAACAAAAATGTTCAAAATTTGATTATAAAAATGTGTACTATATTTGTACTACAAAAACATTAACATGGTTACAGAAGTACATAAGATAACATCTGATTTAGCAGATGCAAACATTGCAGACTGAGTCACTCACAGTCTGTCAATTGTTTTATCAAAAACAATAAATATCAATAAACATTTTTAGACCTTTCCAGTGTTTCCCTTAGAGTACTGGCCTTGGGAGGGCTGCTTATAAAAACAGGTCAGCAGCAGCTTTGTTTTAAATACAATTTGCAGAACATGAAAGTCTGCAATTTGCATTCATTGAATCTTATATAGCCTCTCTCATCTAAAGAGACATTTAAGATATCTTGAACTGGAGTCTACCTACAACTTGATGATAAATCTGACGTTATTTATACTAGTCAGAATATAATTAGAGATATCCTAAATAGGTATTTTGAATTGTCAAAATATATTAAGAGATGTCTATTTATTTGTTTGTTTCTTTCATTTATAAAAAAATACAATCTATGTACACCATATAAAAAAGGTAAATCCTACCCTGAATTAAAAGGGTGCAGAGTGAAGAAAAACCTATCATATGTGTCCCTTATGCTCAAAAATCAACTTCAACAAACAAACAAGCTCAAGCTGGAAAGATCTCCAAGTATAAAAAATAAGTAAACAAAATAATAAAAGAAGACATTTTATTATTTTATCCTAAATAACTGATATGTCTAATCTAGTCATAAAACAATTTCATATAACTGGAATTTGAGTGGTGAAGCCGAATAAATGCAATATCGGCCTGCCATACAGTGAGCCTTTTGAACTGACCCGCTGCTGCTCTGCACTCTCAGAGCACAAGCCGACATTAGCAAGATGGATTTATGACTGAACGAAAGTCCAAATCTTATCATCTCTGTGGGTAAAAATACATAAAAAACTATTGTTTTCTCCGACAACTTGGGTGTGAAAATACTACGGTTGTTAAAGCTTCGCTCTGCACGACGTGCAGTGGGAGGGAGGGAGAAAATAATCCCACGACAYGACGGCAAGACGTAAATTTTCTACAGGGGATGGGGAAATTTTGAGGATTTATTCTGTGTGTGTTTTAAAACACTATATTTCTTCATTTATTTTCAGAATATTTTGAAAAAGTGGYCCTATAAAAAAATTAAAGAAATTGTTTACCTGCCTGGTCGGGCAGGCATTAGGACACACCCACCTGCCCGAATATGAGTTTTACCTGCCCTGGGCAGTCGGGCAATAGGATCTGTTGAACCCTGTAACCTGGAGGTTCAAACAGCTTTCTTGTACAGACCATCCTCTACCCCTAGACTCTAAGATTCCATTCACCTGTGAATTATAAAATACTATTTTGCTAATTTATATTGTATGTATTGATAATAGCCTGGATCTTGCATATCTCTTTCCAGGGATGAGATCCCATGATGTTGGTAGAAGCTGGTTTTAAATRTCTGTTTTTGTTGCAATACAAAAAAATCAAAGGCTCCAAGACTATAGTACTGAAGGGGGGGGGGGGGGGGTTATAACTTTGTATTTGATCAGTTTGTGTTTAGACTGACTAAACATGAAATTCCTGCACTCCTGTATTTTTTTTTTTCCTTTGAATCAGCCTWAGGGCAGATGACTTCATCACAGCTGAGGTATTCTTTGTCTGTTTACAACATCAATTAAAAAGAAACACTCGTGATTCTTTTCATAAATGTAAACAGTAAAACTGAATTTCATTTCCCTGGAAGCATTTTGAAATTTGTTGTATAAACACACACACACACACACACACACACACACACTAGCCTGCACACTTTTCTTCTGTCTTGTTGCTCCCTTCCGATACTGCTCTTGTAAAAGAGCATGTCTTTCTACTCTGTGGATGATGCAAATATATATTATGTTCTTTCACATTTTTAATTCCATAAGTGCACAATCTGCTTAACAGTTCATTCACTTTGTGACAGAAATGTTTGCCATTATTTGTTTCACCAATTTCTGGTAATCATTATTGTCCAGTTGTTATGTTCATGTCAAAAACAGTCCAAGTGCCTATATTTAGTGTCCCCCACCCCACCCACCCCCCACCCATTCAAAAGAACTGATCAGTTTCCAACGGTATCAGTGTGTGTACAGTGTGTGATCAACTAAAATGTCTTACTCCAAGTACCGTTGCTGCAAAACCATTTAATCTCTGCCTGTGGCTTGTAATCTGATTAAATTTCAGTTTATATTTTTTAATTTATTTTCACCATCTAATYCCATCCTCTGCTGCTATGAAAACTGATTATTTCAGCTTTTTTCTCTTACAGCTGGTGTATTAAAGCTGCTCTCATTCTGATTTGACTTATAATAGAAAATTGACACGATGGGCTTTTGAGGAGTTGAATTGTATTTTTTAAATTACTGTATGTGGCTTTGTCATAATGTAGGAATGAATGGATACTTTTATCTGTGAGGGAAATTATTTCATCAATTGCATTGTTGCTGTTGTACGCACGTTTACAAGAAGCATTAACGAACTTCCCCTTGTATGATTGATTGMATGCAGTCGATTTATTCAAGGATTCAAATGCAAGTTAACGAAATAACTACAGTAATAACTGACATTTTTTGAGAGTTTTGCATAGTCGTTTATTTTTCATTTAAATAACGAATGAGCTGAGTATGCTTTTTCATTTTAAGTACCATATTTGTGTTGCTAAATTTAAAGAATAATTTCGTAATTTTTTTTTAATCTGCTAATAAAATCAGTTTAATGTTCTTTTCAAGTTTAACTCATTAAAATAAAGTTTAGAGCTCAGATTGAGACTATTAGAGATTCTTCTGAATCCATAATTTGCTTACATTGGCATCAAACCAGACACTTTTCGCAGTGGTGCGGAAACTCAGTTTATTTCCATGGAACGTAATCCAAATGAAGACCTGTGACCAGTCCACAGAACTGGTTTCTGGTTCGCATATCTGCGCTTGTTACTTTTTACATTTYTGTTGGTTTCTATGCGATTCTAGATTTTATTTTTATTATTTTTTGTTTTTTTATGTGATTGGATCAGTCTGTAAAAATGTCCCTTTGGGTCTAAATTTGCACCAGTTTAGTCATTTGACGTTGAACTGATAAAGGCCATTGAGACTTGGCTCATGATAATCATGGGTTGTAATACTTTTTGACATTTTTAAACTTTTATTCTCTGGTTCAGTTTTGTGAAATTTGTTAAATAATGCACTAAATGTGTAATTAAGCTGCTTTTATTTCAGTGGTCAGCACTACATAAACCTGAGGCTGTGGGTTTGAGCTTAGGTTGAATCAGGAAGGACATTAGAGTAAAATGATTGCAAAATTCTTTGTGCTAGTTCGCTCACTGTGGCAACACCACAGAAGAGAGCAGTCCCCAAAAAAGTTTAATAAAAAAAACTGGTGGAGCTGTAAAGTTTATTAAAAGGACTTTATTTTTAATGAAACCTGTCCCGTTTGCCCAGCAGACAACCAGCCAATGTTCGCTCTCGACCACAGCCTCAACAAGAAACCTCACCTCAGGAACCCGAGGAACCTGAGGAGATTCTCGGCTCTGATGATGAGGAGCAGGAGGACCCCAATGACTACTGCAAAGGTGAGTCTTACACTCTCATGTACTGAGGATTATATTTACTCCGAATAACCAGCATGAGCAATTTAATGGAACAATTGCATTATTTCTCACTTTAATTTTTTATTGGTGGTATTATATTCTTTGGGAAAACATATTCAAAACAAAGTTATTCTAGTTCATCTGATTTTGAGAAGTTGAAGTGTAAAATTGCTTGCGTGACTTTATTTATCTTATTAAAGTGCTGTCTGAGTTCAATTCAATTCAAAAATACTTTATTGATCTTAGAGGGAAATTAGGTAAATGAGTTCAAATGTAAACTATTACAATGTCTAAGTGATGTATATTTTCTTGTCTTCTAGGTGGCTACCACCATGTAAAAGTAGGAGACCTTTACAACGGGAAATACCATGTAATTCGTAAACTGGGCTGGGGTCACTTCTCAACTGTGTGGCTGGCCTGGGACATCCAGTACGTGAAAAACGTGGCGACAAAATTTTAACTGTATAATAATAAACAAATATAACTAACTGTAATATAACTATAACATAATTATAACTAAATATCAGGCCTTTTATTGCACAACTTGTGTGGTCGCAGCTTTCACGTTTACTGTCGGCAATATAATCTTGTACGTTGTTTCCTGTTGGCAAACGTGACGTACTTTGTTGTTGCAGAGTTAAGAGGTTTGTTGCAATGAAAGTGGTGAAGAGTGCAGAACACTACACAGAGACAGCAGTGGATGAGATAAAACTGCTGAAATCTGTAAGTAGAGTTGTCTTCATATAGCTATTTAAATTATATTATTAATTTCATTAATCTTTATTTAACCAGGCTAACCCCACTGAGATCACAGATCTTTTTTTAAGGGAGGCAGAGCCAATTACTTTAATTAAGAAGTTCAAGAAGTGTGCAACAAATACTGTCTGTACTAGTGACATTAGTGAACTACATTAATTTGTAAAGGAAAGAGTCTCAAAGAAGCATCCAGTATCCTGGTTCTGTATGATTAATTCAATTTAAATTTGACTAGCATCTTTAAAATAATAACATTTACGCATTTAAAGTTAATTAAAAAAATATCCATATTATGTCTTACAGTTTGCATGATTTCAGACTTGTTTGTCAAATTAGTTCTTGTGTAAGCCCCCCTGGACGAAATATCAATTTTTTTATTTTGTTTACTTCCTTGTGACATTGCTTTGTGTTCAGGTAAGAAACTCAGACACAAATGACCCCAACCGTGAGATGGTGGTTCAGCTGCTAGACGACTTCAAGATCTCCGGTGTCAATGGAACTCGTATCCTTAACAAAAAAAAAACAAATCACAAAAGCTTCCTGTGTTTCTTCCCTTTTTTTTTTTTTTTTTTTGCTTAATGATGTAAGATCTGAACTCTGTAATATCCCATGTGGAGTTCCACAGGGTTCTGTACTTGGACAAAAGTTATTTATTTTGTATGTAAATGATTTGGTTAATGTTTCAGGGTTGTTTAAATGTGTTTTATTTGCAAATGACACTACATTTTTGTGTTTGGGTAAAGATATAGAATGGATGATGGAAATGATGCAAACAGAATTTGTAAAAATACAAACCTGGTTTAAACTTAATAAATTGTCATTAAATTAGGATAGAACTAATTATATAGTAATAGTAATAGAAAGAGATTTAGAGTTGATGGTGCTGAGTTTAAAATTGCCTCCCAACTGAGCAACAAAAGTTTCTTCTCTTAAAAATGACAACCTTAAGGAACGAGTAAAATATATTTTCTGTTGTCAACCTCAGGTGGTCAGTGTAGTAAATGGAAACTTGTGTGACCTAAACAGACTTCAGCCCCATCGCAACACTTTGGCCGAGTAAGATCCCACGAATAATAGGTATAGCTGCAGCTGTAACATGAGAGTCCCTCTCTACACTATTAACTAATACTCCACCTCCATGTAGCTGAATGACCTGATGTTTCCTAAGTTGTTTCCTCAATAGAGTTTTCAATTTAATTTTATTTGAAGCAGGTTATGAACTTAACTGCTGCTCTTCAGATGTCTGCATGGTGTTTGAGGTGTTGGGGCATCACTTACTAAAATGGATAATAAAGTCCAATTACCAAGGGCTGCCACTGCCCTGTGTGAAGAGCATCATTAGACAGGTAACACAATCCCCTTGGTCTCACCTTTTTAAAGCGGATGACTCACTTGTTACAGTAGTGTGAGCCACGTAGCCTCCAGGCTGTGTGAAGAGTAGAAACCAGTCCGGGCAGAACAGCTTGATATAATTGAACACAAACTGTAACGCAATCTTGACACGCAACATGATGGCGAAGTGTTTTCAAAGAAGCAGTGTTAGACTTATAGGAACAGTTTACTCCTTCAGTCACTTTAAATCACAAGACTTCATTATATTAGACATGTAACTGCTTAGCTTATAATATATAGGCTTGCTGACTATCGATTCAAAACAGATTACATTGTTTGGTTGTATTGCTTTGACTTGTTTTCCCTTGCATATGCATCAATATTTTATTTCATAAACTGTATAAATACAAGATAAATAGAGTGTTTAATTATGACAGATTAAATGAGTTAATTTTGCTTTGAGCAGTCAATCCTGACATGCAGTGAGGATCTTTTGTCTCCTTCTGGCAGTGAGCTTAATTACACAAACAGACACATTCCAAGAATTATATCGGAGGCATCAAACATTTTTCTTTGCTTCTCTGAATGCAAAGTTTCTTGTTTAGTCTGGAATGTCGGAAATGCCTTTAAAGTGATGCTGCAGTTAGTAAAGCTAAAACTCAGCCACACTTGGAAACGCAAAGAGATCAGCTTGGCACTGACTGTCTTTATCAGCGTTGTGTGAATGTTTTTTATGTTTAAAAAAAAATATTTTCTTAAGGATGACCGCCTTTTCTTCCAATTGATGTATTTTTAAGGTTCTCCAAGGCCTGGACTACCTGCACACCAAGTGTGAGATCATCCACACAGATATTAAACCAGAAAATATCCTGATGAGCGTTGATGAGCCTTATGTTCGAAAACTAGCAGCTGAAGCCACTGAGTGGCAGCGGGCTGGGGCTCCGCCACCTTCTGGTTCAGCAAGTATGACTGACTGAGACACACACACACACAAACACACACATTTGCACAAATAACCTATAAACACTTGTCACGAGTTTCGACTCATTTAATGTTCTTTTTACAGTAAGCACAGCACCAGCTCCAAAACAGGTTTGTTTATTCATCTGTTGCATCAACATTGACCTCTTAAATAAATATTCAGCTTACATCTTCTGCTTCTTTTTTAATCTATTTTATTTTCCCTTCTGTTATATTTCTGGTAGAATGTGAAAATGTCTAAAAACAAGAAGAAGAAGTTAAAAAAGAAACAGAAGCGTCAGGCAGAGCTGCTAGAAAAGTGCATTATGGACCTGGAAGAGATGGAGAAGACCACAGACACTCGCGAGGACGATGAGGAAGAAAAGGACCCGCAGTCCCCAAAGGGACGAGCTTGTGCTCCTCTCAGACAGGTGTCTCTGCTGGAACTAGAAAACAAGGAAACAGGTAAAAGCATCACAGGGCTTATGGGTTAATATGAAAATAATTGTTTTTTTTCTTAATAGCTATGAATTCTAGTAATGCTTGTTGATGAAGGTCCTGTATTTATTCACACTTTAATTTATATGTGCAAACAAATAGCTAGTTGTGCATGCTTGTATTAAATTAAATTAATATTTTTGGTCCACAGAGTGATTCCCTTATCAGTGCACAACTATTTAAAATAACTTAGATGAGAGTACTTAAAATCATTGCTCATTTTGTCCCAGGTTGTTGACTGCAGACCTACTTTAAAAAAGATAACAGATGTTACCTTGAATGAAGGCACAGCAGCTGGTTGTGTTTTGTACTTTGACAAACTGCATTTAAGATATAGCAGCCACTTTACAGTAAAAATGTTTTATTTATAAGCTTTTTTTATGTTTAACTCTGACACGCAACAACCTTCAATTGATTTTGTTCCTTTTAGATCACATCTTGTGACTTTAGCATGCAAATTTTGTAATTTGTTGTGCAATAAATATCGATATCACTGTTTGTTTTGGAGTTTATCAAAGCTCGAGTTCATATTGGTTCACAACTGGTTAAATTTGAAACACTTTGTTGAAGAGTCTTATGCAGTTCACCTTTCCCCCCAACCTTGCAGAGTGCTGTGTAAATGCAGACAACATGAGAGTGGGACCAGACGAGCTGTCTGAGGCCAACTGTAACGGCCACGTAGAGGTGGAACCGAGGCAGCCCAGGTTTAGGACTGAAGACCAACACAACGGCAACGCAGAGTCTYCAGAGCAGCAACATAAAGAGTCCCTCATCTACCCTCTGTGCAACGGTGTGGATTCCACAGATTTCAATGGGCCGGACCCTGAGTGCGACGGCAGGGGGGCTCACAGCAGTGAAGTTACTGAAAGATATCTTCCCGATGAGCTGGAGGATGGAGAGCTGGAACGAAGGATTTTGCAGGAGGAGGAGGAAGATGAGACTGATTGTCATTATGGAATTCAGGAGGGCCTGAGAAATGGTCAGTTCTTTAAAATTTGTATATTTTTCAAAATATGTAATGGTTTTTAAAGTTATATGCTTCTTTTGTGCCACTTTAAAAAGAAAATAAATCACCAGCTGTGTTATTGAAATAATGAGACACTTTTCCTTTTTTGTCTTTTCTGATGTAGATAAGTTAACAGCAGGATCTCTGCTGGTTAACCCTCTTGACCCAATAAATTCAGACAAGATCAAGGTCAAGATAGCAGATTTGGGAAATGCATGCTGGGTGGTGAGTAGCTAAAGTTTCCTAGCCTTGCAGCGAAGGACGTATACAATGTTAAATGTATGCCAAAATTAATAAAGCGCTTTAGCGTTTAAATTTTATCATGCTGTATTGGTTTGAACTCAGCAATTAGTAGACCTGTGAGMATAATCAACACCAAATTATATTTCTTGTGTTTTTTCTTTTTAATTCTCTCACAGTTTTTTTTTCGTCAGTGAAAGAGTCAGTTTTTTATAGGACTTTTTTCCCTCTCCTTTGTGTCTTTTACTTAGCACAAGCACTTTACAGAAGACATCCAGACGCGACAGTACCGGTCTTTAGAGGTTCTCATAGGTTCTGGATACAGCACACCGGCCGACATATGGAGCACAGCCTGCATGGTGAGACTCTGCACTGATGAGTATAACACCTTATTGTAATTCTGCCATAGATGTAGAAAATAGGAGTAAAAAAAAAACAAAACATGAACTTTTCATGAATTGTCTCTAAAATATGTTCTTGTGGTCAGTTATAGTTAAAATATTGACATGATACGAAGCTGTAGGAATTAAGATAACAATGAGCTTCAGCCTTATGTGATGTATAATGAGTGTCTTTGATTTTACTTTGAAGTACATGGTTGTACCAGTATCAAAGTCACTTTGTTTTCTACAGATTTTACATGGCGACAGATAACATGCAGTGTCTCCATATCTGTGTTTTTTTAGGCCTTTGAGCTCGCCACTGGTGACTACTTGTTTGAGCCACATTCTGGGGAAGATTATTCCAGAGATGAAGGTATTATTGTTCTCTCTCTTTCTGTCCTTTTTGAATTTTTGTTTCTGTTTAACTATGCAGCATTATTACTAACTGCTACATTTGGCTGAACTTGAAATGTCTGCTTCACTCAAGAGATATTTGTTCTTAGTAATAAATGTTAATAGTTATTGTTTCTGTGCGAACCTTCACTGTTTGTCATGGTTTATTTGGCTTTTAGTTTTACTTCTGTGAATTAACATTTTAAAAGTTTCACATTCTGCAAGTTCAGTCTGTCACTGTTGTGCAGCTTTGCACAGTAATTTGTGATGCACTTTGCACAGAAGTTCTCACTATTAACCTTTTAAATAAAGTAGTCCATTACAGTGATTTCAGATGGTCTCTGATTTAGAACAAATGTTGTGTAATAATGTGATGAAGAATGCAAACATTCCTGGGTTTATTTCCTAACAACTCAAACCACATTTTTTGCCACCCTGGAAATGAGGCCATCTCTTCACTTCCTCATTCGTCTCTGTCCACATCCTCAGCTCCAACTCTCCACGTTTCCTCTTTTACATCTTGGTCTTAACGTAAATGTCAGTGTGCTGCTCTGCTCGAACATTGTGTGCTAACTTGATGCTGCTCTGGTATGTGCTGACGCTCACGCTTCAGGCAGCTGTGTATTGACCTCCTTTTTTTTTTTTAAACACATCGTTCATGTGGCTGTGTTTTTTAGATCACTGCTTCACTTGTCTGACTTTTGTTTACTACAGTTTGTGTCAGAATGTAGCTTTTCAAGGCTAMGTTTGAGCCATTTTCACTTCTGAAATTGTATGGCCTATACTATAACTTTTGACATTTGTATAGTTTTGTCTCTCATATATCATCCATTGTTTCTAATAATTCTRTTGCATCAGTGTCATCTCATCTCCATACTGTTTCCCTGTCACTTCCTGTCTTCCTTCCTCCTGTGGTGTGCCTCATTTCCAGACCATCTTGCTCTCATGATTGAGTTGCTTGGTAAAATTCCTCGCCACTATGCACTAAGTGGGAAATACTCTCAGGAATACTTCACCAAGAGAGGTATGCCGCCCCTCTGTGTGTGGCTCACCCTGGGAAAGGTGGATGGGAAGGTGAAGGGGTCCGGACAGCATCTTCAGATCCTGCAGAGGTTTTGTGCACAGGCCACTTGGCGTCATAATAAACACTCGGCTCAATAAATGTCTTTTGAACAGAGCCGTCAGACATTGATTTAATTGTCAGTAGTTCTGCCAAAGACTCCTCATGGAGGGCTTATGCTCTTTAGTTAGTTGTTGTCAGATGGTTTGGTTTGTACTTAAACTTTATTCAACCTTTTTATTAAAGAGACTCACATAACCTTTTTCCTCCACAGCAGTTTATTATTGTTATTGTTATTATTGTTATTGTTGTTATTGTTGTTAATATTGTTAATATTAACCAAAGTGCTTCACAAGGTAAAACAAATACAAACAGGCCATAATAAATCAATACAACTTAAAAACACAATTACAATAAAAGAAAGTTAAAAAATATATAAAATGCTAAAAAATCAAAATCAAATGTCCTTTGATGTTTAAGGTTAACCAWTAAGTGCTTGCTTATAAAGTAGGATTGTTACAAAGTTACTGATTAGTCTGATATGTATAAAGTTTTATTTAAATCGACCAGTGGTTCATGAGAAATTTTRCTGATGCTATTGACAAACATTTTGTCTATTGTATGAAATGAATTAATAAAAACTATAAGTATTTGTGACCCRTCATATTGAAATGAGGATTAAGTCAAATTTGGTCAAAATGACCTAATAGGAGGATTTCACATGACTGAAACCCAGCTATTACATTTTCAGATTCCTGGCTTTAAAAGCTACATTTTGATACCTGGATTATTCTGATATCATAAGTGGATCTAGAGATATGATTTAATTTGTCTTGTTAGTTTTGATAATACATTACTGTTTGGTCTCAATCCTAATTTCTTGTAAATTTATTGAGTATTTTTTTATGTTAATATAAAGAGGAAACCTCAAATATTATTTGTATACTAAGATTTCCCAGTTGGAACGAAACAAAAACATTTCTAGCTCACAGGGAAAATTTCTAAATTTGAAGGTGTTTTTCCTCAAAATCAGGTTTTTTTGTTGCTGCGGCTCAAAAAATGCTTCAAAACTTATTTTAGGATTATATTTCAGACAGTTCATTCAAATGATACATTGATAAGGCATTAATTCATTATATTATGACAAAATGCAATTTTTACACACGTTTAAATCAAAACCCTATATCTGCCCATTTCTTTACATTCCACTTTTGGACTTAATCCTCRTTTCGATGTGATGGGTCACATTTCTTATTTTAATTAATTTGCCAAAACAATGGTTGCTGCTATATGTGATCATGTTTAATTCTCCTGAGACACTGACAGTCTTACATAATGAAATGCAAAAATTGTTTATATTTCAAAGAGTCGTTATGATCTGCTGCACGTAGATGGATAACATTTGGGAGGAGTGATGAGAAATGATCCCAGATGAAATATGAAAAGTTGATCGCTTTGCAGTGAGTGTAGAAACTACTTTGTCTTGTCATCAAAAATAATGTTCTCCTCTAGTTGTTCAAATATCTCACTGCTAATAAGGCAGTTTTATGCCTCATTTGGTGATGTGGAAAAATTGTGCGTTCACTCTTTAGAGCAGGAAAATCGTACAATGTCTGATGGTTCTGTTTATTCTCCTTCTGTCTACAACTGGATGTGCTGTCAGCTCCACCTTCAGCTCTCCAGTCAAACACCCAGAGTGGGCCTGTGTTCAGGTCACAGTCTCATCCATATGTTGTCTTTTTTTTTTTTCTTACAACCTACTGCTGTGTAGACCATATAGCGCTGATCATTGAGCTGCTGGGGAGTGTCCCACGCAAACTCATAATGATGGGCAAATATTCCAAGGATTTTTTCACCAAGAAAGGTAAAACCAGAAGCTAAGATTATACATTTTTGRCAGCTCATATTCTTGCGTTTTTTGGAGTCATAGTTATAGCTGCTACATCATTATTAGAAATGGGTAAATGTATAATAGTTACAAGAAAAATAACTTTTTTTGACATTTTGTGCATTATTTATTTCCTGTATCTGTGGTTCTCTGATCCAGGATTGTATGTTTACCTTGTGTTGCAGGTGATTTGAAACACATCACGAAGCTGAAGCCATGGGGTCTGCTGGAGGTGCTTGTGGAGAAGTACGAGTGGTCCCGCGAAGAGGCCGAGTGCTTCACCGATTTCCTCCTTCCCATGCTGGAGCTGGTCCCTGAGAAACGAGCCACAGCTGCAGACTGCTTACGCCACCCCTGGCTCGCCCTCTAGTGGACACTCTCAGCCGTTGCACTTCCCCTTTCCTCTCATTTTCCTCAAGACTGCAACAGATCACTTTTTCCACTTTGGGCATATCTGATTAATATTTATTTCTTTTTGTTTTGTTGTTTTATGTTACTGTTGTTGTTGAGCTTTTGCTTCAGTGTACGTTTTGCTTTTCTGTTTATTTGTTCTTCCCTTGTTGCGTTGACGTCAGGAATCCAGTGGATTTTTATGATGTGTGGTCATGTTTGGCTCCAGCTGCTGTTCTCTCGTCACCCCAAAAGGAAACCTGTCACTGAGCTGCTGGAGACTCATCCTTGTTTTGTTACACTCCTGCACTAAAACTCCAACAAATCAAGGATATATGTAGCCTTTATTTTTTGTCCTCTTAAAAACAAATGACACTTTCCCCCCCCCACAAACCTTTTCATTAGTATTTTTTTCTTTTATATGTATAATTTTATTTCACATCACACATGTAAGGTGTACATTTAGTACTTGTATAGTAGGCTTAGGAAGTTGCACACTGGGCTGACATTTACACTGACTGTGGTAACTCATAGCATTTCTCTTAGATGGGCTCTCTAGAGTCGTATTGACACTGTCACGAAGTAGGTCATATTTAGCCTAACCAACTTGTCACCTGGTTTTTAGTGGGTAGTTAATGATAAACTAGATCTTTCATGGGAGGCTGGCTTTCTCATACACCTATTACAATTCAGGTATATTGTGGTAAAAGGTTTCAACGAGACAAAATGTTAAGAAGCCCAACGGAAAGGAGGAACAAAAGAAAATAAACTGTATATATCTGTACCAAAGAGTTTGCCTTTATGTATATTACAGTTATGTACAGTTTTTAACAAATCTTATATCTTAGCTAAAAAAAAAAAAAGAATTTAGCTGGGTTAGCTGTGTTTTAATAAAGTGTATGAAAGATGTGTTTGAGCTCAGTTGTGTGTGTGTGTGTGTGTGTATGTGGCCAACTGTTGGATACTAATGTCACTGGTTTTAACCATAGACTTGGTGAGATCTGATGTTATGGTGTATCAAACTGATCATATCAAAGTAAACTATGTTGTTCAGACATAACGGTAAAAAAAAAATTACATTAGTGTCACACTGAAGAAAAAAAATCATAGACTTTGTGAGGTAATAATTACAGAAGTGTACAACRCCATTCAATAAAACAGATCTTCGTTCAGTACATGATGGCTGTGAGTTTTTGTKTGACGAACAGAGGAAAATGTTTGCGAGACATAAAAACGGATCAAAACCTTTAAAGCTATGCCATAAAATGTGTCTTCATGAAGCTGGGCTACTGAAGTCGATGTGTTCAGGTGTTCTCTGAGGAAAAAGTGGAGAAAATGTTTTCAGTTCAACAGTATACAAGGAATCATTTCAGCTGCTTGTAAACCGAACTGTGGCAATAAATGTCTGAACATATTTATTGGTCACTTCTGAAGGCGAACTAGTGCTAGTATATTTGTGAAGGTGTATCTGTAGCTTGTACAGAAGAGCTCAGTTATTTGTTAGCAGTGCTCAGCCTCAGCAATGAGACGAGAAACGTTACGTTTCATGTTTAGTCAAATACGAAATGCAGAAGTTAATTACAACTGGTTCTTTGAGGGCCACCATATTCAGGGTTCCTACAGTTTAAGGCAAGTTAAATTTAAGACATTTTAAGACTTTAATGCCAAGTGAATTCAATTTTAAGACCAATTACACAATAAACACAAATGACAAAAAATTAATAATAAACTGTGGCAGAAACTCATGAATCAAAGTATTTTTGGTTAAATTATTCAAATATTGATAATAGACCAATTGTTTTTATCCATATCTAACAGCTATTTTGTTAGATATAGCAAAAAAAAAAAAAAAACCTTCTTAGCAGTCAGTTTTAAACTTAATTTAATCTCTGGAAATCCTCTAGTAACCCAAAATTTGGAGTTTTATGACCCACAGTGGGTTCTCAACCCCAGCTCGCTGTAGATGAAACCTTAAAGTGCCTGTGACATCAAATTTTTGTAAGAAATATGAATGTATTTTTGGAAAGAACATTGTTAACATGTTAGAAAACACATTTGACATTGCACAGATGGACAGTTGTTGAGATATTTGCATGTGAAATAACAGGAAGTCGTATCAAAAGGGAATTTCTGAATGGGAATATTTAAAAAATAAATTAATGTTACCAATTATTTTAATATTTGATACCAATTAAAGTCATCCTACCTACAATGTGTTAAAAATTTTAAGACCTCTGAAAGATTGATTTCAGACATTTTAAGGCTAATTAAGGCCTTATTTTTGGATTGATGAATTCAAGGCCTTTTAAGACTTTTTAAGGATCCACGGGAACCCTGGTATTGTTCATGTGGACCTTGGTRAAAATGAGTTTGACGCCCGTGCTTTAAAGCATTGGTAAATCCCATCATTTGTGTGAAAAACTGCTSCTTTGTGAAGTTCCTTTAAAACCCAAGGATATTGGAAATTAACTTGTGAGATTGGTTTGCATCATTTTTTATGCTTAGTTTTGTCCGTTTCATTTTTTCTTCTTATCCGGGATTGRGTCGCGGGGGCAGCAGCCTAAGCAGAGAGACCCAGACTTCCCTCTCCCCAGTCACTTGGGCCAGCTCAYCCGGGGGAATCTCAAGGTGTTCCCAGGCCAGCWGAGAAACATAGTCCCTCCAGCGTGTTCTGGGTCTTCCTCKGGGCCTCCTYCCAGTGGGACGTGCCCAGAACACCTCACCATGGAGGCGTCCAGGAGGCATCCTAACCAGATGCCCGAGCCCCCTCAACTGGCTCCTCTCGACGTGGAGGAGCAGCGGCTCAGCTTAGTTTTGTATTCAATAAAAATCACCTTTTTTATTCCATGTGACATTATGAAATCTTGTGAGGCAGGTTAGTGCTCATAGAATATCATAGGAATGACCCACAGGTACTACCACACAGACTTTAGCCCAACATCTAATAAAATGAAYGAGTCGGCCATAATTATCTGAATTATGAGGACTGATCAGATTGTTTTAAAGGCCTTTCTTTGCAAAAGGTTTGAATAACCCTCACTGTTATATTCTGGAATAGCCGGACGAGTGAAACAACCTTTGCCGACTGTGTCACAGCTCCCGCTTCCAACATCATAATCCTAACCTGGTTTGACAAAATGAAAAGCATCTGTTTTTAAAGGTCCTGCTCCCTCACCTGCTCCCTCCACCTGGAAGTCGTCTGGCAGCAGATTGTCCTGCCGATTGCCGAGGGTGAAGGACAACAGAGCCAGGAGGGTGGCGTCCAGAATGCTRATGATGGCCAGGATGTAGGCCCAGCGCACCGTGCAGTTTCCCAGGCTGTACTTATCCGTCTTCTGGCCGCACATCGTCTTCACCTGCTCAGAATCCCAGCCGTCTGGGTAGATCATGCAGCCCATCACCATCAACACGGCTGCAGAGGGAAAGGAGGCAGAAACGTGGTTTGATGTTGAGAAATAACAAGAAGCTCCTGAAGTGGAGRAGGTGGATATAAAAATGTTTAAAYAGACCTGGTAAAAKGACAGGTTTATGAAAAAAAAATCATTTCTAAACTTTTACCATCTTCAGTCCTGAACTGTTAAACAGAAGAAATAAAACTGTTAAAAGGAAATATAAAAAATGAAAAGGTACAATGAGCCGRTTGCATATGTGTGCACACCCTAAAACTAATACAAAACTTTTAGATTTAATTACAACCTTCAATTTTTTTATGTCTTTATGATGTAGCTCCTATAGCCGTGATTACCAACTGGTGGGTCGTGGGCCACATCTGCCCACATAGAAAACAGGTGTGGGCCAGATCTGGTGTCAAGCTGGCACTGCAGGCTGACACGGCAAGTGGTTTTTCAACCGAATATGGGCCAGGTTTTGGCAATAATGGTGCTGTTTTTAAGATGGCATGACACAACCGGGCCAGTTGTGGTTTGGTTTATGCTGTGCTGGCCCATGCATGGACCACCTRTGGCAAACCCTATCTGGGCCATTAAAGAGCCATCATTCTTGGAGGTATCTGGGCCAAATGTAAGTGCATTTTGTAAGCCAGAACTGGATGAGATTGGCTATGCGTGGTTTGCATGCTTCTGTTCTGTATTATAATGAATTAACAAAAAACTAAGTAATTTTCCCCCTTTGCTAACAGAGCATGATCAGGGGCCATTACAGCTCTATGGTCAGAGATCTTGTGTCGTGAGGCTGACTAAATAAATATTCTGATCCATGATGGCAGCTATATTTTGTCAATCACCCCTGCTGGATTGGACGGTGTGTTGTTATACAAGCTCCTGCATGTTAGGACTATAGAATTTCTTTGGGTCTAGTTAGTTTAGCAGCGCTGACACCTGATCGTGTTTCGTGTAAGCGATCCTCCATCAGAGGTGTCAGACGTTGTGCTGACACCTGATTCCACGACGACTACCTTTCAGGTCACACCTCACATAAAAGCAGACATGGAGGGCCCGAAGCGGGTCATGGTGACTTCAGCATCTCAAATTTAGACTTGCACTAAAATGTTTAAACCAGGGTGCCCAAACTTTTTCCCAGAGAGGGCCAAAATTAAAATCTATCTGAGGGCTGTGGGCCATATTTAATAATATAACACATTAAATACAAGTACTTCTTAAGTACAGTCCTTTTCTTTTTAATGACTAAGCTAGCAGCCAGAGCAGTGGCCCACATTTTTTTTTATTTGTTTTTGTTTAGAAAGTGCCTTTGGAGAAAGTTTGACGTAGGCTTGGGCAGCGAAGACTCCTGGGACATTTCATAAATTGATTTTGTGGTCTTTTAAAGTAGAGGTTCTCAAACTGGGGTCTGCGAGCCATGTTTTGGGAATCCTCAAAAAATGTCAATAATTAATGTTCATTTATTTTTTTATTTTAATAATTGCATGTAGGGAAC